ATACATACATACATACATACATACATACATACATACATACATACATACATACATACATATATACACCGTTGATTTGTTTGGAAATATATTCGCTAATCTCGCTGGCACAATTCAACCCCTCTTCGTTGATTGCTCCGACTGTCCGTGGTGTACACAATAATTTATATCATGCCGCAGTTCACAGGCGCCAGTTCTTCTTCTTCGATCAGCCTTTCTTCGTGCCCAACTCTCACACCCGTACTTCATTGCACAGAGGATTGTTGCTCCCGCTAGTTCAGGAGTAGCTGAAGTAATTGATCTTTCCTCCAAGGCCGTGTCAACAAACTTTAAGATGGGTGGACTTCAGTTCTCAGAAATCCCCAGCCAGCCTTGGACTCCATCCATGTTGAAGTGGTTGAGGTTGGTAAACACGGTTCTAAGAGGCTCCTGGCAACTCAGTTTCCCTGGGCATGCTTAGTTGAACACAACCAGCCTCTGAGGCCCACTGGGCATAAGAGCTGTCAATCACAAGGGGGAGACAGTGGGCGTGGCGTGGGAGGGGACCTGTTTGTTTTCTTCCACCTGCACTGTTGTAACTTTGTGCAGGTAGCTGCCAATCTATGACTTAATCTCTTACCCAAACTAATCTCTTAATCCAGAGTTTGGTAATGCACATGGTGATGGAGAACGTCTTATCCAGGAGATTCAATAGATAAAACACCTTTCACAGACACTTGAAGGAGGTAGATCGGTGTATACACCCATATGCAAAATGTTGTGTGAACCCTTGTAACCTTCATCTCCAGTTAAGGAAACAAGTTCCCTTCCCTATAAGTCTTTCATGCTATGAAGGACAGGTATTGTAGTTAAATACAATTTAAGGGACATTTTTCCACACTCTTATTTTTTTGAAAGGCTGGTGATATAACGTTGTTGGAATTCATTGTTGGAATGGGGTATTTCTGTGCAACAACTACGGTAGTATTCAGCCAGTAGATGGCAGTATTTACAAGTTTGGATCTATGGTCTTTACTCTATGGTCTTTTGTTTTAAGTAGAGTTTCCTGTTTCCTGTTGCAGTTAAATACAGTAGTTTAGCAGTAAAGCACATGGTTATTGTACTCTTTGCTCTGTGTGGTCCTTTATATAAACAGAATGCCTAATAAACGTAAACCTCTGTTCTTTATGCTATGGTTCACATCCTGTGAGGTGAATCAGATCATCTCCAGATGTTGCTCTTTTTGTTACGGAGTTATATAGTTATATAGTTGGAGTTATGGAGTTATATAGTGTTATAAAGGTTATTTAAAGCTGTAGTATTCCATTCACGACCCTAATTGAGCCTAAGATTTCTGTTGCTAAGCAAAATATTTAAGTGAATTTTGCCCCATTTTACGACCTTTTCCACCACAGCTGTTAAATGAGTCACCCCAGTTGTTAAGTGAATCTGGTTTCCCCATTGACTTTGCTGATGACAAGGCTGCAAAAAGGTGATCACATGACCCTGGGACACTGCAACCGTCATAAGTATGAACCAGTCACCAAGCATCCAAATTTTGACCCCAGAGAGGCTGCAATGGTCATAAGTGTGATAAATGGGCCTAAGTCTCTTTGTTTCAGAGCCGTTGCAACTTTGCAACGGTCGCTAAGTGAACTGTCGCACGTCAAGGACTACCTGTAAGTTTTATTTCCGCAGGCAAAGCAGCAGGGGACATTTTCAAGGATGGTTCCGTCTTATCAAATCCCGTCGCAGGCCTCGTCATCGGCGTTCTGGTGACAGTGATGGTGCAAAGTTCCAGCACGTCCTCCTCTATCATTGTCAGCATGGTGTCTTCTTCACGTGAGTCAACCGTAGAGCGGATTTTGGATTTTCGTAACTTCTTCTGAGAGTTTGTCAGCTACAAAATAGGGGAATAACAAGGGAGCAATCCACGAGTAAGGGCCTCCTTCTGTCATTGTCAGCAGGGTGTCTCTTTCACGTGTACCAGGGATGGTAAACGGTTTCGGTACCGAGTACCCAAACCAGAATGCGTATGCATGCGTGTGTGTGTGCCCGCACACACTCTGGAGCTCCGGAAACCCGAAGAACAGCTGGCCACTACATGCCTGTCTGGTTTTTGGCTATTTCTGGCTGTTTTTCTGGGCATTTTCCAGGGCATTTTCCAGCGCTCCAGTGCCCGTCAAGACCAGTGGTGGGTTCCGGAGCCTCTTCCAACCGGTATGTCTGGAACAGGCCCGGCATCACCCACATGGTTGTGCGTGGCGCATGCATGCATCATACCTGCCTGTGACACCTCTTCCAGCCTCCGCGATGCTCCAGCTGCTCGGTGGACAGGTGCTGTTCATGCCATGCTAAGATGAAATGCCCATCGACGTGAATGATGTTGAGTTGGCCATGCCCACACGGTCACATGACCACCGAGCCATGCCCACCCAGCTGGTCATTAGGGCAATGAACCGGTTGTTAAATTATTTGAATCCCACCACTAGTTAGTTCCCACCCATTGCTTCTTGTCCTACCCTCAGGTGCCTTGGAGAATAGCTTGACTCCCTCTTCTTTGTGGCAACCCCTGAGATATTGGAAGACTGCTATCATGTCTCCCCTGGTCCTTCTTTTCTGTACACTGGCCAAACCTAATTCCTGCAACCATTCTTCATATGTTTTCGCCCTCCGTCCCCTGATCCTCTTCCTTGCTCTTCTCTGCACTCTTTCCAGAGTCTCCACATCTTTTTTTGGGGCATGTGGTTACCAAAACTGGATGCAGCATTCCAGGCATGGCCTTAACTAAGGTTTTACAAAGCGGTACTAATACTTCACGTGATTTTGATTCTGCTCCTCTGTTTACACAGCCTGTTTATGTTTTGTATAAACTCTGTGCATACAAAAGTTTGGTAGAAAGCAATTGGGAGGACTGGAATTCGGTACCTTGCAGGCACTGAAGCAGTCCTGTATGAGCCAATAAGTTCTCCTTTGTTTCATGTTTACCTGTAATCCTTTTTTTTTTAACATGCACTTTTATTTTATTCTTTTTTACAATTAAGAAGTTACAGTGATGCTT